ATATTGATATATATATATATATATATATCCATACATATATGTATATATTACTATATATTGATTGATTTAAAATGCGGCAAATTAATTTTTATGTCTCAATCGCTAAAAGAAGAAAAAATATATTCTCAAATATATTCTCATATAAAAATATTTCTCTTACGCAGTGACGAATATATGTTTATTGTGATCGATTATATTTTGTCCCACATAGTTAGCTATAAACATGTATAAGATACTTATGAACGCATATATACATGGCAGTAAAAATTCATTAATATTATTTTCAGATGATGTTATCTGAAAAAGCTAAGAAACAAATTTCAAGAAATTTATCGATCTTTTTGTATGTTTTAACTTACGAATAATGCACAAGATTTGCTCATTCTTATAGCTAACAATAAGATTACAATTTATATAAAGATGGATAATTCTTTCAAAACATTGATAAAAATACTAATATATTTTACAATTTAATACAATTTAATAATGAAAATTCTGCAAATTTGTATGAATGTATGTATTTGCAACTTTATTATATATTTTATAGAATATATGTTTGGCTATTTTTCATATTAATTTTCTTCTTACGACATCTATAAATATTATACAGTATATTATAAAGTATATTATAAAGTAGAGTGTTGCATTTTTATTATTTTTATATTATTTATTGGTTTTTATTTAAGATTATATATATATAATATTGATTTGTCGATTAAATACATATTAATAAAATTATTATTAATACATAATTTTGATGCAACATTTATACATTATAATTCGAAATCAAAAACTTACTTGAAATACATTGAGACTAAAACAAGCTACTACACATCCTGTGAAACAAAGTATCGTTAGCTCAAATGTGGACACTACATGCTTGGACAATCTTTAAAAGCAAAAATTTAATAATAAAATTATATTATAACATTATTGAATATTGTTGATGTAAATACAAACTTCATAGCTTGACGATGAATATCTATGGCATAAATTATACCCTCGGTCATCAAAATCATATTTTTTATCGTACTATTATGTAGAATATTGATGTTTACTGCATGATCGAAACGATAACTATATAAATGTATTTTAATTAGAGAATTTGTTTATTAAAATACTCAAAATCTCCATATAAACTTTTTTTAATAGAATCGTTTTATAAAGATAACGAATACATAATAACAATTAAAATTATTAAACTCATTTAAAATGCATTTTCCACATTCGTACCTAGCAATTCTAAACATTCCACAAATATGCTCAATGTATGTAATAACCATTGTACCTATTCCCAACATTATAGTTATTCCAATACATAATACTGCGTACATGTGTAACAGAATCAAATAAAAATACTTTTCTTGATTGACAAAATACTTTGTCATAATGAGTAAATGATGTTGAGATGTGTTTGTTGATTCATTAACATCAGTTATATTTGACCAAAATTGAGCTAAAATAATAGCAAATATTGTACAAAGTACAATTGCTAAAAAGCATAAAAGCCACTTAAATTTATAGTACGTGACGTTGATCTTATGTTATATATTATTAAATATTTTTTAATAAAATAAAATTTTATTGTAAAATTTAGAATTAAAATTTTATTTTATTCGATTCAAACATATGTGCATCTATCGCAAGTGCGCGTACATGACAAGTGCTTTAGACTAATATGTAATAAAGTATATATAAATATATAAATTTATTATCTTGAAACCAATTTTACTTTGACAGCTTAAATTAAAAATATAATTATAGGCAGGGATCAATAAATATTCTCTTACCTGTAAGCACAATTGTATAACGCTTTGCGACACAACTATATTTTTCTACAATACCTATTTCGTTTTCATTCCTTAAGTCGTTAAAAATATGTTGAAGCTCCACGAGTAAATTCTTTACCTATCATTTTATTAATTTTCTATACTATCTTTGTTTATATAAAAAAATTCATGCCACATAAATTTATTTAACAGACAGATTAATTCCATTTAAATGAATATGTACTTTGTAAGCCATCAACTTACAACATCAATATTAAGATGGACTGCAATATACTGTATTATGAATAGTGTAAAAAAAGATACGGAAGAAAGCACTTTAGTAACAAGCTCCGAAGTACATTTTAATATTATTAATGGTGTCAACTGTAAATAGATAATTTTACACCATTTCATGTTTAAGTATGATTAAAAATGATGATATGTATAATACCTATATCGGCTCTTAAAAAAAATATACAATAATGATTATAAACTTGTATATTAATGTATATCGTACAATCGTTGTGTTAGTAGATATGATACATTGTGCCTATCATTAATATCGCGTTTATCAATAGACTTCTAGGAACTGATTCTCTAGGAAGCTTCATCAAATTTAAATCAGTCTGTGGTGTGATTTTGTAAATCGGTGAAACAATTATAATGACTCGCGTTAGCAATATGAATATATATAATGAATATATTATATATTTAATAGAGAAAGAGGGGGACTAGATTGAAACACTTTAAAATCACAAGCTCTTAATCGAAACAACGATTACATATCATAAATTTTACATAAACGCGGCCTTACTTACTATTGTAATATTATATCAAAATTTTAATACACAATTATACACTATTATTTTATTATCTATACTGATACGATAATATTGGATTGTCCGGAAAGTTCGTGCCGCAAAAGATTTAAATTTAATAAATGAAATTAAAAATTTAAATCTTCTGCGTTTCAATTTTCTTTCAAAATCGACACGAACTTTCCGGACAACCTAATACAATACATGGATGCACAACGATATTCATAATCTATTTTTTTATTTAAGATTATTTTAAATAACCTTAAAAAAACAATTTTAAAATGTTATAAATTAATCACAAAGTCGTATTAATATCTTGAAACATTGCTTAAGATGGTTTTGAAACAAAAACTATGAATATCGATATGTATTTACGTTAAGAAGTTTATTGATGCATATGCATAATGATAATTGATTCTCCTGCTTTAATTATTGTATACAGTGAGAATCACTGTCATAATAGAAATCAAATATTTTGACATCTGTTAAGCAGGTTATTCATCATATGTCCAAATTTTACCAAAATAAGATACGTCTAAATAAAATTATTTGTTATAAAAAATAATTTTAATGATTCACAATAAACAATACAATGGTACACAATTGTATATCTAATAATATTACTACATGATATTAAATTTATTTCAGTGTATTTAATATAAAGAAAATTCTTAATTGCAGTTAAGGAAAAAAATACAAATTGTAATGTGCAATTTTATATCTTTTAAAAAATAAATAATAAAATGTATTTTGTTTATATCAATTACTTCATCTTAATGATTTATACATGTTAATATATATATATAGGGCACTGAATATAATATGCATACAATGTTGAACAACAAATTGCCTAATTGCGTTTTGTAATCTTTTGATTTGATACAAAAAAAACAGATTACATAATATAAATTGAAATAAATAATTTAACAGTAAAGGATTGTCATATGTAATATATATCATATAATGTTATATTCTTTCTTTACCTGAAATATAATACCTGTTGATAGAATAGCAAAAAAGAAAATAAATTGAACTTGAACAAATTTGGATTGTTGATGCGGCCATAAGCCGATAATAAGTAATAGGATCCTGTTGAGATAATAATGCTGAATTTCTACTGGTACCATTTCTCTATGAGCGTTTGAATATTACTGTGACAACTCGAAAATATCGATAAGAGTATTATATTTATCCACTTTTTTTCACTCAAATCATTTCATATTTTATTTCTTCTGATATAAATTCACTGTAATTTTCTTCAATTTCTTTAATGATCACTTATGTAAAACTTTGTTGTGAGATGCAGACGCATTAAATTCAACCAGTCTCTCAGTAAACTACGAATATTTATTTTGTTATTAAACTATCCCGCTATAGATAAAATTTTACAGATGTCTTTTTCTCATGTCATTGCCACGCAAGCGCAATTTCTTCTTTCTCTCAATGCCAGAACTTCATTCTAATTTACGCAATCAAAAGGTACACTTCATCTTCTAAAAACTGCCGATCACAGAAGTTACACACTCACAGAAATTTTATCGAATGGTGATGTAAAAAATTAGATTATTATAAATCAACAATTTTGTTATTATTTTGTATATTTTAGAGTATGTATATTTTAGTATTTATACACATACTAATACTAATTGCAAAAGCTTAATAATTTATTTTTAATTTTATATGCAAAGCGAATTTTTGAAATTTATCGATATGATTTGAATAATTTCAATCCTCTATTTTAACAACAAAATTTAGCTATCTTACAAATTTAAAAAATAAATTCTTCCATTTTCTAAACATAAATACTTTTCTAAAAATAAATACGTCTTATCATTAATCGTCTTCTGACTAGCTACATCCTCATCTTTAATTACATCCTCATGTAATAAATTCATATTTATTTCATTACCGTGTAGGATATATGACAGTGAAGTAAGATAATGAGGTCTTTATTAACTGCAATTACAAACATTTTCTTTTATTGCATCCATATGTAATGTAGTATGTTAAAATATTGTACATTATATTACCGTGGCAAAACACTCCAAGGATGAATCAAGTATTCCACCGATATTTACAACAAATTCCTTCGTTCCTACTTGCAATAGGAATATCATTCTTTGAATGCATAAAGGAGTTTTATACCACTGAACGTTGTATCTACAAAATTAAACATGAATTACTAACGTAAAGTATTGTAGAAATTTTTTTATTAGTTATACTATACAGATTTCTTCTGCAAACAGATAGACTTCTACATTTATAATAATAATCTTTAGAAGAACCTTTATACATTCTCTATTAGAGGAATGTTTCTTACGCATGAACACGAGATTATTGTGATCCGTAATAATTTGTCCTAGCCTGACTATATACATATATACGATACATACTAAAACATATATAAATGGCTCTAAAACCTTCTCAACATTATTTTCAAATAATGCTAGCTAAAAAAGTTAAAAAATAAATTTTATATGGATATTGTGTTGATTGATTATTAGTATATTGGTATATTAATGTTTTACAACATAATAAGTTTCCTTCATTTTAAAACAAAGTTTACATACTGAAACAGATTATTATTATGAAACGTTAATTAACCCTTTCGGTCTTAGCGTCCACATAATAGATTATCTCGCGTAAAGAAATCACGATAGTGTCGATTGCGCTTGGCTTAGTGCCGAGATAGTGATGAATTTTTTTTTATTAACGTACATAAATGTATCACAAAAATAATAAAATGTAGTTAAAAGAGCAATTATTTTTTATTAACAATGAGAAGTTTATTTTATAAGACTGTATATATGTAATTATCCAAAAAATAAACATTCGCGGCAGACTTTCCCGTACAGAAAAAAACATTCATGCAAACTTACACTGAAACGAAAGAGTTAAATACATATACCAATGTAAATACATTTTATTTTAACATAGAGATGTAAGGATTGTTCCAAGATTATGTTATTCACAATACTGCTCATTAAATTGGTCAATAAAAAATACGCAAATTTGCATAAATATTTCGTAACATTTTTGTATTTTAAAGTATGTTCTACTCGTTATTTTTCTTCTCACGTCATTTAGTACTTAATTTGCATTTGTTATTTATGTCATTTATATAATTGTTTTTATTAGAGATTCTTAATTCTGGCATATCTGTTGTGTAACTCTTGATATTCTTACTGAACAATATTGCTAATAATTTTGAAACAGTTCGCATGCATAATTACATATTGTAAGTAACTTACTTGAAATAAATTAAGGCTTAAGCAAGCCACACCAAGGACGATTAAAATAAATATCATTTTCTCGAATGTAGATGTAAAATGCTTCATCAATCTTAAAAAAAAAAAATGTTAATGTGGAAATATTGCATACGTATTATCATTATGGATACAAACTTAATAGCTTTCTGATGAATATCTACAGCATAAATTACCTTGATCCTCTAGATCTTATTTTTCAACATAACTTTGTTAAATGTTGATATTTATTGCATACTCGATACGATAGCTATAAATATTTATTAATTATATTTATTAATTATATTTATTTAGTAATTATACGACTCATTTAATAACAATTTTTTTAATTAATAGTATTATGGCATATTTAATTAATAGTATTGGCAAACGAACTTTTTTAATATATTGTTTAATATAAATATAAATTTTAACTTACATTTTATATTATTATGATTATTCTTACATCTATTTTCGTATCTAGCAATTTTAAACATTTCATAGATGTTGTATAAACGTAATGCATAATGTACCAGTTGCTACAACTGATGCAATA